GATGGTTTCTGACAGTTTGTGCAGAAATTCTTTGGTTATGCAAACTGATTGTTGCAGCAGCTGTCCGGGTGGCTGGTCTCAGATGATCTTGGAGGTGAAGATGCTGGATGTGGAGGTTCTGGGCTGGTGTGGTTACACGTGGTCTGCGGTTGTGAGGCTGGTTGGATGTACTGCCAAATTCTCTGAAACGCCTTTGGAAACTGCTTATGGTAGAGAAATGACCATTCAATTCACGGGCAACAGCTCTGGTGGACATTCCTGCAGTCAGCATGCCAATTGCACGCTCCCTTAAAACTTGCGACATCTGTGGCATTATGCTGTGTGATAAAATTGCACATTTTAGAGTGGCCTTTTATTGTGGCCAGCCTAAGGCACACCTGTGCAATAATCATGCTGTCTAATCAGCATCTTGATATGCCACACCTGTGAGGTGGATGGATTATCTCGGCAAAGGAGAAGTGCTCACTAACACAGATTTAGACAGATTTGTGAACAATATTTGAGAGAAATAGGCCTTTTGTGTACATAGAAAAAGTCTTAGCTCTTTGAGTTCAGCTCATGAAAAATGGGGGCAAAAACAAAAGTGTTGCATTTATAATTTTGTTCAGTGTATATTGTTATCGATATCTTTATAGTTATCGTCCTTGGTGTGAACAGGCCTTTAGACTAGTCTTGCTTAAACTGTTAGAGGTTTAGTAAGAGCAACCTGCTTCCTGACAGTCAGGCTTTTCTTCATATTTTTGGAGGGTTTCACTACCATCGGTTGCTGAAATGTGTGGTATTGTGTGTCTGTGTGTGCATGTAGAAGCCACATATGCAAAAATAAGTGGGGGAATTCAAATGTTAATAGATATGGTTTTTTTTGTCATGTATTACTGGCTTTATGCAGTGGTGGAAGGAAGATTCATGTTCAGGGGAGCAATATGGAATTTGTGGAATCAGTTACTGTCTTGCCCTCTAATGAAGTGCGGAAAACACAATACAACACAAGCTCAGAGGTAAGATGTGTGCTTATTATTTCTGCAGTTGCTCACAGCACTTTATCTGATACATTGAGGATAGCTATTTAAAACTTCAGAGTCTTCAAACGTCCATCACTTTACTGACCTCCAAACTGTTATAATGCCTAAACATTTCAAGCAATTGATTTGTTTTTGATTTTTTTTAATTCATTTTTAAACAAAACATTATAGAATTTTATAGATTGTCGGTTAACATGAAAATAATTGTCAACTTGTTTGGGTAAGAATTTTTATATTGACTAAAGACTTTAATTGTATTCACAGCTTACATGCACATGTCACATGTATTAGATTGATATTTTCAGTGTTTCTCTTTCTCAGGATGTGTGGTTTGAGTCCCCCCACTCTGATGGCAGTGATCAGTTTAGCTTGTTGTTGAATGTTGGGAACTCCACTGTGGACTGTGTGTATTATTTCTCCTTCAAGCCTGATCCAGAATTCACTGGATTCACCACCGTACAGGTGGCCTATGATCTACAGGTGAACATTAAGGTGAGTTTAGTGATAAAGTGAGTTTAACTTTAGTCTACAATCTGCGTTTTTGGCATGCATGAAACACACAACCTCCAAATCATCCCACACTCTCTCTTTCTCAGAAAAAGGCAGATATGTTGAATTTGAGTATGAGTGAGGTGACTGTGACGGGTCTACAGGGAGATCAGGAGTATCCGTGTGTTTTGGAGAAGATTGAGTCCAATGCCGTCATCTGTAAGATTAAAGGAGAATCAGGAGTGGACTCACTCACTGTGAGTGTAAATATTCATGTCTTTATGCAAATTGTCTTAATTCATTATTGTAAATTAGGAATGACCTTTATATATCTTACATACAAAATCTTCCTTCTTTTGCTATAATTTTCAGATAAAAATTGGTTTTTTTTCTAAAAACCTTGAGTCTCAAAGTGGTATAATATATTTACCCATCTTTGCCGCATTGATTCTGCTTATAATTCTGGGTGCTGTTGGTAAGTGATTTCAGATTTACGTCACATATTTTCAGTCCTGCAGGTACTAATGTATGTGTTTGCTCATCTGTCTAGTTGGAGTCATTGTTCACCGTAAGAGCCAGAGACAAATGAATGAGAGAATGAACAAGCAACTGGAAATGCTGGAAAGCAACATCAGAAGGGATATACGCCAAGGTTGGTCATCTTTGAAATGCTGGTCTTTGCACCACTGTAGCTCATACTGAAGGTTAGTGTTATAAACACACAGCTAACCCTAATTATTCAACTTTGGTGCATAACTCCTCCTGCACATTTGTGCAAAGGACACAGAAGATGCCTCAAATCATGCAATTATTACTTTCCTAAGCAATATGCATGGCAGTCAATAAAACATTAAAAAAATCACATAGACTTCACTGAAAAAAAACCACAAGCAATATTGGGGTCCAGAATATCAGAAATGTCATGCTTTTTATTTTTTGTGCTGGTGAATAACTACATAACTTCCACAAAAAGTGTCCCACACCGCTCCAGGGGGTGAATAAAGGCATCCTGAAGTGAATCAATGCGTTTTTGTAAAAAATATCCATATTTAAAGGGGTCATATGATGCGATTTCAATTTTTCCTTTCTCTTTGGAGTGTTACAAGCTCTTGGTGCATAAAGAAGATCTGTAAAGTTGCAAAGACTAAAGTCTCAAATCCGAATAGATATTCTTCATAAAAGTTAAGAGTCAGCCACGCCTACCTAAAACGGCTCGTTCTAACACGCCCCCACATGTCTACGTCACGATGTGGGAAGATTTGCATAACGCCGCCCAAATGCTCACGTAAAGAGAGACGGCGTAACTTTTATTCTCGCTGTAGTATTGTTGCCGCCGCTGCCATGTCGTGAAGGCGCTGTGTGTTTCGTTGTGAAAGCGAAACTACATTTTTTGGCCTTCCAAAACAGGACGATATCCGCTTTGTCATGCCTAGAGCTGATCCGTGCTGAGGGAATACATCAACTTCGCTCTGTGGATTGCCGGATCGGCTTTCACCATGGACGAAGTGGAGTCCAGCCCGGGGTCGTCACATGTGGTTGCCGCAAGCCCGCCGGCCGCTCCTTCGTCGAATCCCCGGCCTCCCCTCACTCTAGGCCTGTGTTTCATTGTGAAAGCGAAACTACTTTGTTTGTAATTATGTCCCCACTGGATGCAACAAATGCCTCGTTTATAATGGGTTTTAATGTTTTTGTCTCGTCACACCGGGACATGGCATCACAGTATGGTAAGGGCGTAACATTTCCGTCACACGCTTGAGGTATTCGACCAATCACAACGCACTGGATAGCTGGCCAATCAGAGCACACCTCGCTTTTCAGACCGATGAGCTTTGTAAAAATCGACACGTTTCAGAAAGATGGGGCATAGAGGAGAAACAATAATGTACAGTATGTGGAAAATAATGTGTTTTTTGAACCTTAAACTGCATAAACACATTTCATTACACCAAATACACAAAATGATGTTCTTTTTAGCAACATCATATGACCCCTTTAAAGCTTTATAAACCATAATCTCTAGCTTCCGCTAACTGTTATACGTGCGAACTATCCCTTTAAATGCTTATATTGCTGACATACTTCTTAGAACTGTTTCATGTCTAGTTGTCTGTGATTACATTATGCATTTATGTTTGTTTGTTTGTTTGTTTGTTTTGACAGGCTTTGTTGACTTGCAAACAGAAAAATCTGATTTAATCGATAATGTTGGAGCCATACCTTTCTTGGACTACAAGCACTTTGCCTCAAAAATCTTCTTTCCTGAGGTTCAATATTTTTATCTTTCTGAAATTCCTTTTTTTCTTACTATATGTGTTTGTTTGTTTAATATATATTTTCTCTAGGCTGGCCCTCTGGCACCAGTCATGATCAGAGACATTGGGCAGGTAAGATGATGCAGTGTCTTTTGTAGTATATGAAATATAAATGTATGACACTGTATAAAACTAAATGTTTTATCTCTGTCATTTTTGTTGTGGTCAGGACTCTGAGCAGACAACTGTTGATGAGAAATGTCAGGCTTTTGCTGTACTGATCAGAGATAAGCAGTTTCTCAGCTGTTTTGTGCATGCATTAGAAGAACAGAAAAACTTCAGCATAAAAGACAAGTGAGTCGACAACATTTAAATGTATGCATTTAGCAGACACTTTTAACCAAAGCAACTTTCAAAAGAGAAAGAAGACGCTTTGATGCTTTGAACATATTTTCACCTCTGTTTAAAGATGATTTGATAAACCTGGTCACAGGACCTCGTGGTTATTTTGAGGCTTTGACTTGATGCCTGTTACTTAGAAGCATAAACAGATAATGCTTTGTGTTTTTTTAGAATAGCACATCTTCCTCAAAAGTGTCCAAGTGTCTACCTTTAAAATGACCACCACCCTGAAACACAGATATGTGTTTGATAATGTGCTTAATAGGGTTAGTTTTAAAGTTTTCAAAGCACTTGATTGGCTTGATGGTGTTTGATCGAATCTCCTTGCAAGAATAATGCATCCAGTCTCTAAATTAGATCCTGTTAGAAGATATCCATTTAGTTTGGTATCCAACACAAGTCAGGAGAGTTTTGCCTGATACCCAAAATCAGCAACACTGCATTTAGTCAAATAACCAAAACCTTTTAAACTAAAAGTCTTCTATCCATCTGAGAGGATGCCTGAGGACCAGGAAGCAGGAGATGACGTTATGATGCTAAAAAAAAGCACAGGGTTTTTTGAGTAATCTTAGTTGTGGATATTTCAACGCTCAGACTTTGTTTGACCAGCGCAAATCCAACTGTTATATCAAATTGCTTCAGAACAACATCTCAAAAAAACCTTGAAATGGAGACATTCCCTCTTATCTCTTATTCATGAAGACAAATATTCCATGAAACCCCACAATCATTTAGATTAAAGATTAAACAACAATAGCTAGCATTGCACAATAATAAGTAATATTAAAAAATTATAAAAATGTCATAAATGAAAAACATATTAAATGGTATAGATAATAAATTGCTAAATAATATATACGATTAAATGAAGAAAATAAAACACAAAAAGGTTGTTTCAGTTTCAGAATACTTTACTGGCTTGATGGTTTTTCAAAGCATCAATATTCAAAAATAAACATAATAATGCAAGAAAATGCAACATACTGTACGTATTGTACAAAATGAATGAATGAATGAAGAAAATGAAGCTACAGTACACACAAGCTGTGGTTGGTTTCTGATTGGATTTTAAATATAAATTTGTGAGACAAGTGCGTACTATAACAACAAGTAACACTCAGTGTCTGACCCTTTATCTACTCATCTTTCTTCTGTTCTTTATACCTTGTGTATTTGTTCCTCTCTTTCTGTTCCTCTCTCTCTCAGATGTACAGTGGCTTCTCTGTTGACTCTGGCCCTCCATGGAGACCTGCTTTATCTCACAGAGGTAATGGAGGACCTTCTGCAGAGTCTGATGGACCAGTCCAGCAATGCAAATCCCAAACTTCTCCTGCGCCGCACAGAGTCCATAGTGGAGAAGCTTCTTACCAACTGGATGTCCATCTGTCTGTACGGCTTCCTCAGGGTCCGTCCGAGCATCCACTGTATCGTGGAATTATAAAGCACATATTCTCTTTAACTACCTGTGTGTGCTCACATGTTTATGGACAAAATTGTGTGTTTCCTCCATAGGAATCAGTAGGACAGCCTCTCTTCCTGTTGGTGTCAGCTCTGACTCAGCAAATCTCTAAAGGGCCGGTGGATTCGGTGACAGAGAAAGCTCTGTACACTCTTAGCGAGGACTGGCTTCTCTGCCAAGCCCAGGACTTTGAGGCCTTGGTCAGTATTTCCTCTTTTACTGTCTCTGTCTTTTATGCAAATGAGGAAGTGTTTGCAAAAATGAGGAGTTATGGAAAGTACTAACTTTAGAAACACCTTTCTGAAATTTGCAAGCCACATTCACATTTTAATAATTCCCCATTTTAATCCAAAACTCTAAATTTTTCCCTTCCTGCACTCAAAACTACTGAAAAAGTTTGGTTAAAAGGTCAGTGTGATTTATATGCTTATGCTCCTCAAGGCTGAATTTATTTAATCCAAAACACAGTAAAACAGTAATTTTGTAAAATGTTATTAACATTTAAAATAACTGATTTCTATTTTAATGTTTTTTAAAATGTAATTTATTCCTTTGATTATGTTTCTTAATATGTTTGTGGAAACAGTGACACATTTGTGGAAATCATGATGCAGAAGTCTTTGATTAACGGAAGGCTCAAAAGAGCAGAAGTTTCTTGTTAACTGTGTACATTTTAAACCTCTTACATTAAATCCTCATAAGCTTCTGCTTTTTCTGTTGCTGTCATGTCCATCCTTAAACCACAGAAGGCATCCTGTAACTTCCTTTCCCTCGTTGCACAACGTTTCTTGCACAAGAAACATAATTTTCTTACATGTGTATATGTTCTTTACTAATTGTTTAAGGCATAGTTCACCCAAAAATACAAAAATCGGTTATCATTTACTTGCCCTCAAGTTGTTACAAACATGTATGAATGCTTTCTTCTGTGGAACATTAAAGAAGATATTTTGAAGAATGTGGGTAACCAAAAGGTTGCTGGTCCCCATTGACTTCCATAGTATGGAAATAATACTGTCTATTTGGACCAGAAACTGTTTGGTTACTCACATTTTTCAAAATATCTTCTTTCTGTTCAGCAGAAGAAAGAAATTCATACAGGTTTGGAACAACTTGAGGGTGAGCAAATGATGACAGAATTTTAATTTTTGGGTGAGCTATCCCTTTAATGTTGGGCCATAGAGATTTTTATTTATCATTTTTTTTTGTTTCCCGTCATGTTCTGTTCTTGATTCTTTTCTGACCTGCAGTTCTCACATTGAGTGTGGTTGGACGGTTGGTCTCAGGCAGTTTTTGATAGTTGATAGTTTGTGGACAGAATCGTGTGACCAGTCCATCTTCCCCCCAAAATTACCAGCAGTCTCACATTTAGACTGGTGTGGCCGTTGTGCTTCTGCATTTTGCGTTCTGCAGAGGATATCAGTTTTGCACAAGCCTTCCTCTCACAAAACTGGACTGTACCTGTATTACCAAGCGAGTAAATGCCATTTCTCCAAAGGAAGGTATTTGCGTCACAGAAGATGGTCTAACTCATAGTTCAAAATTGCTTTACAGGAAGTGACAGTGGAAAAAAAGAAGTCTTTAAACTGCATAGTCGTATGCAATAGTGCATTTATTTTGTTCTAAAAAACTGCCGTTCTATGTAATTTATTTTAAGTCGATACAGCATTTTTAGAAATCTGACTCAATGTTTTAAAAAAAAGTTTTGATCTACCTGACCTAAATAACAGTCACACTTTATTTTAAGGTCCAATGCTCGCTATTAACAAACAATTAACTACAACTTTTGCCTCAAAAAATTCCTAATTTGCTGCTTATTAATAGTTTGTTAGGTAGTTGTTAAGTTTAGGTATTGGATAGGATTAGGGATATGGTCATGCAGAATATATGCTTTATAAGTACTAATAAACAGCCAATATGTTAATGATAAGCAAGCTAATAAGCAACTAGTTAATAGTGATAATTGGTCCCTACACTACAATGTTACCAAAATAACACATCCCCCTCTAAAATAAGCCAATATGATGTGAAAGATCCTTAAAAATTAGAAAAATTGTCTATATATAAGGTTTTCTTTTACTAAAGTTTATTAAATATTGTCTGTATAAACAGCTCCAGTGATTTGAAACACATTAAAAGCAGAATATGATTCCTTCTTTAGTACTTCTTTAGTCATTAAATTGTTTGCTTTATGTTTTCGCCCCCTGTAGAAACTGAAGGTGGTGTTTGCTGTGGGGACTGGAGGAGAGGTCAGTGAACCCTTAGAGGTCAACGCACTGACATGTGACACAATACAACAGGTCAAGGAGAAAATCTTACAGACCTTTCAGCGCAAATTTGGATTCCCCTTCCAGCAGATCAGGGATATAGAAATCGGTTAGTGGACTCCCTGTTTCTCACTCTCTCACAGTTGATGATCATAATATTTCATAGAACTTCCTTATAGAGCATGTTGGTCTGTTGGTAACACACAGTTTCAGGTTGCCAGTTGCAATATCTGCCGACCTAATTCCTCTTTGTATTCTCTGTTTTTTGTTGTGCACTCACAGAATATGAAAAGGAAGGAAAGTTTGTCATGCTACAGGAAGTCGATGAAACCTCAGAGATTCGGGGACATGTTACCATGTTGAACACTCTAAAACATTATCAGGTGAGCGCAGGAGAACATAAAACAGTGTAAACATAATTTTTGAGAAGTGGAGTATATTCTAAGCAAACAGACAGCTGATATAACAAAAATCCCATGTGGGCCATATATAGAGACCAGAATATGGTAAAGGCTTTGGGTTGGGCACTTTTGGCTTAAAGTCCGTTCACTCCAAGAATGACAACTGTAAAGACAGCTGCATTTAATAAACATTCTGCAGTCGTTTGCTGCTTTAAAAGTTCTTTATAGCAAGATGGATTCTGATTGGCTAATAATTAATCAACTTGAAAAAGTTGTTCTGAAAGTGATTCCAATGATATTGTTCCTCTGTGTTGTTATCGTTATAGTTGTGACATGGAATCCAGTACTCTCACTGATTACTAAAAATCTGTAGGTATCATTATCGTTGTAGTTATTGTCCTTAGTGCGAATTGGCCTTAAAGCTATTAAAGTCCCCATGAAATCAAAACTGACGTTTTTTGGCTTTTAGTATGAATATGTTAGCCTCAAGTTTATGTATAAGCTATTGACAAAATTCACATTTAGAAGATATAAGCATTCAAAACTTGCAGTCTCTCACTTCCGCCAATATGGATCAATGATTTTGATGACGTCACTCTGCACTTCAGCTTCTCATCAGATTTTCTGTCCAATCAAATGCTCTCTAGAATCTGAAGCGTCCCGCCCCCTACACTATAAATAAACGCTGAAGCTGCTGCTGAAAATCGGTCACTTGTTCACAGAATTACTGTTTGGTGAATGGCACATAGTGCACTGTATAGGGGATAGGGAACGATTCAGACAGTGTAAATATGTTTTCCACTGGGGTGAATGAAGTCTGGACAGACCCATTTGAATTCTACACAAAATGCTATGTTTTAAAGTGACATGGATGAGATTAGGAGGAGAAACTCAGATAAACTTGGTGTTAGAAACAGCACTGATGAGTAGAAGAGACAACACAGGTGCCACGCACCAACATAAATTACATAATTTTCAAATTACACATCCAGAGGCATGATTAGGATCACTGTTTACTTTATTAACAGTTTCATATTGAATCGAATCTAATAGACTGTGGCTGTCAAATGTGGCTTTACCAACCTTAACCAACGACTCTGGCCAAACTGATATAAATGAAATGCTATTGGCTATTTAAAAAGGGGTGGGGCTGCTCGATATGTTTCGCCCTGTCTTTCTGTTTCAGCTGAAATTACATCAAAACATTTGATATCGCTGTGCGTTTCAAGGCACTTTAGTGGACCTTTAAGAAACCACCCAAAACACCCCAGCAGCCGCAGAGCAACACCTTAAAAACACTGACATGGGAAAGGACCACTCACATTTTCTTGAGAAAATGTAAAAAAAAAAATAGTTCATATCACTATAAAATGAATGTGTGAATACATAATTTGTATTCACAGTCCTGTGTGAATACAAATTTGACAGATGAAAGACCACAAAAGAAGTTTATTTGACTTGTCTTGCACAGTATTTTTTTGTTCTCCGGGGTGGCTGTTGGCATTATTCGAGGTATTTGAGAATGACCTTTCACTTGCAAAGCTTGTATCACAAGGCCAAATAAACCCAGATTATGCTAAACTATTGTGCAAACTCGTACCACATCCATAGACTACTGCAGCACAGTAGTTCTTTTCTCAACTTTTTCAGAGTTTGTGTTTTTAAAGATGTTTTTCCATCCAGGTTGGAGATGAAGCATGCATTAAAGTTATCACAACAAAAGTACATGCACCATTGAGATCTCAGAGCAGTGTAAAGGGTGAGTCATCATTCCTCCCATCAACCACCATGTCAACTGAAACAATGCCATGCCCAATATCACAATCAATCCATTTTGGGTGGTTTATTTCGCTGTTGCATTTGTAATTCAAATAGGTTTGCAATGCATTCTGAGTGTTATTATCACTCTTGAACTATTACTTTTAAAAGTCTGTTGAATTTGTCAATCTGAACTGGAGCTATTAACAAAGAGTCCAAATTCTCAGGCAACAGTGAAGCACAATTATGAAATTTGTTCTTGTGTAAAGGAAGTGGTGGTATCAGTTGTATTTGTGTCTATATACCAGGTGCTATTTCTGTTGGTGAAGTCTCTTTTCCTGTACACATACCACAGACAGTTTCTGATAACCTTTTATAACTTTCATGAACTTATTGATAAACATTTTATTTTACTTAACAGGACAGTAATTGTTGTACATTCGATTAGCATTTATTAATGATGATCAGTGATCTGTTCATGGTGTAATAATGCTGTTTAATATCAGTCAAGGTCCAAGATTTTGAAATGCGTGTATGAACATGCATTGTTCACATCCAGTTATGTTTGCGTGTTTATGGTATCTTTTGGAGCGCATCTGCATTGTGCAAATTTGGGTTCTGACATGTGGCCATTTTAAGTTCCAACTCAAACCCACTGTAACCCCACTAGAGATTTTAGTACTGTAACACATCCTCTCTTCAGTGTAAAGCACAATAATACATGACTGTTGGGCCAGTATCAGCTTGACATAGCTTATTTATTTACTCATCATTATGGTATTTTGTTTCACAGATGATGAGAACTTCGCTGTCAAGTACTTCCATCTGGTGAGTTGGCTTGTATACTTCTGCACAATGTTTGTTTTGGAGTGTCCTTCTCGTTGCACTGACACGCCTAATGATCTGTCAGGTAATGACTGTGTTGTGTTTTCCTCCATGGGTTATTGTTGAGAGTCCATGTGTTATATCTAGTTGCTATTGCATTGAGACTGCAGTGAAGATAGTGTGGGTGTCTTATACTTTCGGTTTTGCCAGCGTCTTCCTGTTTAAATAAGAGGAAGTGTTTTTAAGTAAATCGAAACATAAGAAACTTTGTATTGTTTATATTGTTCAAAGATAGCATTTTGCCTCTTCTAATAATGAGACATAATAGCTTAAACATTTATATGAGAAACACTGTCAGTATATATAAGTTGTATATATACATTGTTGTAAAATAACTTTACTACAGTAAAAATGAAAGACCATTTCAAATAAACATAGTAACATGGACTTTTCGATTGGTCTAGGTTGATCCAGATATTGACACAGACCTGAGCAAACATCCAGAGAAAAAAGCACTAAAATTCAAAGAGATGTACCTCACCAAGCTGCTCTCCACCAAGGTGAGAATAATTGACACATAGAAGCATTTTATTATATATTGTATGTATGTAGATGGAGTCAGACAGGTATATATATATATATATATATATAGAGAGAGAGAGAGAGAGAGAGAGAGAGAGAGGGACAGATAGACAGACAGATAGAAAAAACAGACAGACAGACAGATAGATAGAAAAATCGGACAGACAGACAGACAGACAGACAGACAGATAGATAGATAGATAGATAGATAGATAGATAGATAGATAGATAGATAGATAGATAGATAGATAGAATAAATGGACAGACAGACAGACAGACAGACAGATAGATAGATAGATAGATAGATAGATAGATAGATAGATAGATAGATAGATAGATAGAAAAAACGGACAGACAGACAGACAGACAGACAGACAGAGAGATAGAGAGATAGATAGATAGATAGATAGATAGATAGATAGATAGATAGAAAAAACGGACAGACAGAGAGTGTATATATATATATATATATATATATATATATATATATATATATATGCACAATATATATATGAAATATGTGCTCATTGTGTCCACCAGGTGGCAGTCCATTCTTTTGTGGAGAATCTGTTTAGAAGTATCTGGGGATTGCCTAACAGCAAGGCCCCATTGGCTGTCAAGTACTTTTTCGACTTCCTGGATGCACAAGCAGAGAGAAAAAAAATCTCAGATCCAGATGTTCTTCACATCTGGAAAACAAACAGGTGCTGATAACACACATTCATTGCGTTGCTCCACCAGCAGTTGCGCTGACTGCTAACTATCAAATGCCTCACAAGATTTATTGACGTTTATATGTTCACACACAACTAAAATGGATTGTCAAACCTCCCCATCAGCCTTCCACTTCGTTTCTGGGTGAACATCCTGAAGAACCCTGACTTTGTGTTCAGTGACCTGGAGAAGACGCCTCACCTGGACGGCTGTCTGTCCGTCATCGCTCAGGCCTTTATGGACTCCTTCTCCCTAGCTGAGCAACACCTGGACAAGGTAACCACTGAAACCTAACATGGAAAACTGTGAATATCACAGACATTATTGACTCTCTTTTTCTCCTACAGCATTCACCAACCAATAAGCTACTCTACGCCAAAGACATCCCTCAGTACAAACAGGAAGTGAAGTCGTACTACAAGTTAGTAAAGGACCAGACTTCTATTAGCAGCCAAGAGTTTAAAATATTTCTTCAAGAGGAGTCAAAGGTACAATTTGTCAGACACTACGTAGAGATTAAATGAAGAGTCTTGATAGGAAGATGGCTGTAATGCAAAATGCCTTAATGTTAATTCGCCTTCTTCATCAGAAACATCAAAATGAGTTCAATGAATCTGCGGCTCTGCGTGAACTCTGCAAATACATGCTCCTCTACTTCAGTGAGGTACGAATCCTGTGTTATCATTGTTCATGTACTCTTTTGTGCATTCGTGGCAGTTTCACAGAACATTTTCACAGGATTTTCAGGCACATTGAAGCCACCGAAATTCTTTAAAGGAAACCTATTTTGCCACTTTAAAGAAATGTAACAGCACTTTCACATCCTGTTTTAGTTGGGGATGTTCAAAACCTGTTTTGAAAGGAGATTTGATACTGTATATTCCCCTAGAAAACATCTGAAACTTGGGTGGTCAGGAATGATAAAGTATTCAGATTTAGCAAAGTAATTATACAACAGCATAACTTCTTCTTTTTAATACTCGGCCTCTACAGGTTTCTCAGAAGCTGGAACAGACAGATGCCCCCGCTAGGCTGAAAGAGGACATGCAAAATGTGAAGGAGCTTTTTGAAAGCATGAAACGAAGTGGTTGGTGTTGAAATTCCTGGTCTTGTTATTCAAAAGGGTATTCACACTGCATTTGGATTATTTTAAGCTGGTCATTAAACTAGACACATCTCCCTCATAATAACTGTCATAATCATCAGCCATATATTAGAGAAGATTCACTTCTGTTTGTTGGATACTGTAGAGACCAAGTGAATGTAATGTATATTGATGAATTTTCGAGTTTGAGAGGCGCTCATTGTTGAGCTTATATTGGACTAACACTGAGCTGCCTATACAGTGCATCTCAAACCCATGACTTTGCTATGCACTGCAATGCAAAACTTGATTCATATGGTTTAATTTGATTTCTAATCATATATTATTTTACTACAGTTTCCCTGTAATGCATTAATCTGCCAGGCCAAGCATTGTATGTTTCTCCTTTTTGAAATCTTTTGAAAATGGACTAAATGAATTATTTTTGTAATTTGCATAGTTATTCAACTGTCCTCGTCTGCACTATACTAATATAATGTGTCTAGTTTTATGTAAAGAGGAGTCTGTGTTACTAACACTTAGTAACACAAACTCCTCTTCACATAAAACTAGACACATTATATTAGTATATAATGTATTAGTTCCTTTGTCGCCCTCTATTGGTTATGATAGTTATTACTTATAATATGATAGCTTGCATTAAACGATTTCTAGACCAGTTAGAGACAGTAAGGCCTTTTTTTTAGGACTGTAAAGATGTATTAATTAATGACATTATCCATAAGGACTAACATTCAGAACGATATAACCAAACAAAAAATGATGGGTGAAATTGCCAGTATATTTTTAAATGTTAAGGGAAATAATTGAAGGTATTTAGAAAGAGTATAATTTTTATCATATATATTTTTTTTATGGTGCGTTTTGCCTTTTTCTTTCTTTTTCTTTTCTTTCTTTTTTTTATCTAATATATCACTTCTGTTATATCGACGGATGTTAGGTTTACCATTTGCCACATTGTGAATATGGCATTTTGAATCAATAATAAATAGATGAATTATAATTGTATTTTGATCAGTGGTTGTTCAATTTCTAATGTATAGAAAAATAGAACTGAACAAAAAATTATATAAAAAATGTAAGACACTGCCTTTTTGTTGTTGTTGTTGTTGTTGTTATTTTCTGTTTCAAACCATAAAAATGGCTAAAATTATATTTATTACAGTAATATGAAACATATCCAATAACATATCTAAGATAACAAATAAACAGCAATTTGCAAAGGACATTCCATAATAATAATAATAATAATAATTTATTTGTATTTAATCAATTATATTTGATTTTATGGATAATTTTATAAACATAATATACATTATGATTATTATGCTCAAAGCAATATAAAATAATAAATCTTTTTTAATTAATATGTATATTATTTTTCTATAACAATCTTATACAGTCTATGATAACCGATAAGACATGGCGTGACGTAAAGTTCAAGGCAGATTCTTATTGGCTGAACGGATTTGGGCGAGCCTCATTTTCGTGGGGTGCTTGTGCGCATGCGCGTTCGTCCACCGACGCGTCACTGCGCATTCAACATGGACCCGACGGAGAAGCGGTAGCGACGGTCGCCTCTACGAGTTATGTTCATATTCGCCCATTACGACGCTTCATTATTCAGAAGAAAACACTCCGGTTGACCGGAGGAAACCTAAAATGTACAGCTCCCAAAATCTGCCGCCCGTCCTTGGATAAGTGATTGATGAGATACCGGTCATGGCTGGATTGATCAAGAAACAGATCCTGAAACATCTCTCCAGGTCAGAGCTTATCCCTACTGACACTTGTACGGGCTTTGCATTTCGATGCTTGCTAACACGAATCGTGCTTTAAAGGCTGAGATGAGTCCTGCTGATGTGGCTGTGCTGGATGACACATGCTGATGGGTCATAACTGGGGTTTGACAGCTTGCCAGACAAAATGCTGTTGCACTGGGTTGATGTCAGAACACGCTTTGGGTGTCATGTCTCCAGCCAAACGAGTCTGTCTGCTCTCATCTTAATGTTGTTTCCTGTGGGTCAGTGTGATGGAGAGCGTGCTGTATGGCTTGGAATCTTTTTTTTAAGATTTCCTCTGCTTTGGAAACCACCCCTCATCCCATTCAGTCCTGATAGATCCTTGGTAAGGTCTAAGTGGATTCATGACATTGCATGACTGCCTGGCCCCATTTCTAGCCCTGTGGTGTATCTGGTTGACACTTAAGGGTCAGCTAATCATCAAATAATAGTATAGTAGAATGCCAAGTAAAACAATAATTTATACAAATATTTACGTTTATGGGATATAAATGTAAGGGTTAAGAGTCTAAATTTGAAAAACCCATTTTGATAGATCGGCATGGAAAAAAAAAATGCATGTTTTAGATCTTATTGTAAATTATTCATCCGTGCGTAATTTTAAAATTAAAATGTCATAACCAGATCTCCTGGATGAAAACATCAGACTACTCTCTGGTGACGTATGCAGGACTTCTCCAATCATTTACTCTGCTTAAACATCACCCCTGCAAGCTCACATTCATCTGCCTCCAAGACTTGGATGTACATCAAAATACTGAAGAAAAAATCTGTCGCTATTTAAGATTCATTACAACTTTAAATCATATTATTGGGTGGGTGACGTGCCACCTAATGTGTCTATGGTGATTTTAGTTGTGATGTAACCCGTCACCAGGCCTAGATGGACAGAATTTGACTTTTTTTGTGTGCTCATTTTAGATTTATTTGGGATAGATTGGATTTAAACATGGTAAAAAGAAATTAGATGTCTGAATAATCAAGTTGGCCAAAGTATTTAAAGATGAAAATCAACCATTCGATAAATATTTTCTCATTGACACCACCATGTCGTTCCAAATTTGTGTGGCTTTCGTTCTTTTGTGGAGCACAAAAGAAGATGCTTTGAAAAACGTTGACTTCTAAATCAACACTGGACCTCCTTTAATACACAAAACATGGATGTGCAGGAGATACGTAGAACTTTATGAATGGCAAGCATTCCAGTTCTGTTGAAATCTGAAAGGCCAGGTCACACCACGAATGATAACTATAAAGTTATTAACATCCACAGCAATGCGTGGTAACTTTCTGTTTATTCTAAGCGCACTGCAGTTTTGTTGTCTGCTGCTTTAGCCCGTCAAATTTGGATAGATTATGATTGGTTGTAAATGGTTCATTCATCTGTTAAAAAAAAAATTCTTAAGGCAATTCTAACAATATCGCTCTTTGGTGTCATTATCGTTATATATTTGGGGTTTGGACTTTCGGCCCTGTAGACGGAGGAGGACCCTCCGTTTGAGCAGGTTGTAGGAGTCACGTCAGTTCATTTCTGATCAGTTTGTTGTGGAAACTTGAATTAAAACTGAGTGGATTGTAAGGACAAGGCCTGAGTTCAACACAAATAAGGTTTTGCCTTTGTGGCCGAGTGCACATTGTGTCAAATGGTTTTCACTATTGTGTGCCATTGTTGTGTCAGTTCTTGAGACCAACCTACCTGCATTATTTATTCCCGCAGTGAGCGCATCCAGATGAAATACTACACCTGTTCATTCAAAATGACAAAAGAGGCCATTTGGTAAAATGGTGAAGTGTGATCTCATGGTGTTCCTCGTTTGATAAGCAATAGCTCAGGTCCAAGATGTCGACTGGTCAGCGTGATAAATTAAAGATGGTGTGGGATGGCGTCTCATAAGGGTCATAACTTTAGACTGTGCCCTTCAAATTGGTGTCGGATGCGCGCACTACATTTTCTGGAGGAATAGTGGCGCTCAAGGGCTCCTAAAAATGGATAGTGTACTTTATGGACCTTGTCTTATTGTTTATGACGTTGTGTTTAATTCATTTACCACTGAGGGACTTTCACCCAGACTTTGACCTACACAAAACAAGTTTTCCTCTTGCGGCAGCGATTTTTCAGTCTGTAATAGTCTCATATTTATTGTTATAGCTTATCAAACATTTTGGGAACGTTCCAGTCTCCTGATACAAAGTGGACTTCAGAGGGTATGCGGCCATCTTGTGTTAGATTCCAAACCTTAGAGATTGCAAAATAGCATGGGGAATGAGTCAACATATCAATTCACAGGAAGTCGAAGGGGAGATTTAAACACCAGTTATTGTGCACTACCTTAGTGCTACACACAAAGTTTGGTTTAAATTAAAGCAGTGAAACTGTGTTGGATATAGTGT